CAAACAATAAAGGTGAGTTTTGTTGTGTCTGAAACACAACAGCCGTATATCACAGCAAAGCACAATCAGTTGTTTTAATTTCTTGCTAAAAAAATGACACTTGTATTTTTCCACTGTTTTATTATAAAAATCAACATTTCATTTGTTACAACTCAGCTTATTGTAATAATCAAAAAGGGGATTTATACAAAGTATTTTTATACAGTTTACAATTAAAGCACTTATTTTACAAAAAGGGGGAAGTGAATAGTGGACAAGGGCTGACCAAATGTTGGCCATTAAAATATAAATACATCCTTGCAAAGCACCATCGTACCAAAGTCCATGAACAAGAAACACCAGCTGACTTTAAGACAATGACGAAGATTAAAGCTTAAGAAAAAATTTAAAAACACAAAGGATAAACATCTGAAAGCAGCACCAGATCCTTCACTTGCAAATAAGGCTAGTCCAGCTTAAACTTCTTAGTATCCTCTTTATTCTTTTTAAATTTTCCTCACTAACCCCAGTACTTAATTTCATGTAACATTAAATTTAACCAGACTCTTTGCTTTATTTTCCTTTTAGTATTCATATTTAGGCATTGCTATATATATACATATATATATCCCTGCCCTGCTTATATTGATTTTTTAAAAAATGGACAGTTAAGCAAAAGCACGTTGTCTATATAATTCTTTGGTGTTAACTTTTGGGCAAACCCCAAGTAATGGTGGGAAATCTAAAAGTTCATTTTTGTTAGGTCTATATACTCCACTTCTGAGTACGAGAAATCACTTAGTTTATAATTCTATTTGTAAAGCCATGAAGAATTTTTTTTTTTTTTTGGTGAGGAAGATCAGCCCTGAGCTAACATCCATGCCAATCCTCTTTTTTTGCTGAGGAAGATTGGCCCTGGGCTAACATCTGTGCCCATCTTCCTCCACTTTATATGGGACGCTGCCACAGCATGGCTTGACAAGCGGTGCCTCGGTGTGCGCCCAGGATCCGAACCTGGGCCGCCAGCAGCAGAGCGCGCGCACTTAACCGCTGTGCCACGGGGCTGGCCCGAGGATTTTTTTCAGCAATAAACTTAAGAATGGTTTAAAGATGCCTTATGAAAAAGAAAGAGTAAAGTTTACCCGGACTGACGGAGGGTGAGGATAGTCAGTAATTTCATTCTAAGTCATCTAGATTAACCTAAGAATCTACCTCCCCCCTCACTCAGGTACAGGCTTAGCTTAATGAGATGCAGAATCAAGTCAAACAGAAATATCCTGAGTATATGGATTCACAATGCTCATAATTTAAAATTTTTTAAGAATTATAAATGTAAAATGTTATGCTTTGAGAATATCAAAAGCTAAATTTTCAGACTATTATGAAATCCTGCCATCCCAGAAGTCAGAAACCACACATATGCTACCAGTACTTTCTAAAATCATCTGTTACTTCTCTTGGTTCACTTTAGGCTTGGGATAATGAAAGGAATATCAAATAAAATTAAATTTCTTGAGTTTAAGAATTTCGAGAACATGTTTTAAACAACACTTGATTATAAACTTTTTATGACTCAGTTCATGTCTGCACTTACAGTCTTATTTGTGGATGCCCAAACATTTGTCGGCCAACTGATATTCACATACTCATACCCACACTCTAGATATACCATGTATGTCATTATACAGACTTTAGCACTGTACTTATTAAAAGTGTGACATATTTGGAGTGTGAAAAGCCCAAGATTTTTGTTTCTGAATCTTGTTAGATGTGTAATGGTAACCAATATGATACGCATGCAAATCAATGAAGTGGCAAGTTTTCCCCTGCAAGAGAGAAAGCAATTTAAAAAGCTGCATTTCTAAGAACCTAATCTTGGCACCACAGACTAGATAGGGAAACAGCAGCAGCACATCTATCACAGAGAAGCAGGCCTGCTTAAGGCGAGCCTTTCCGGTATCAGAAGGAAATAGATTTTACTATAACTGTTGGTATCAGGTCACATACACGGCTCATTAAGAGGCTGGGTAAGCTGCACCTACTAACTCTGCTTGAAGTATTCTTCATTAACGGGCCTTATGGCAAAACAAAAAGATTTCCCCCCAAAACAAATTGATACCTAATGCAGATGGTGGCTATTTTTATATCTTAATATCGAATGAGTTGGCCTTACACAAATTATTGACTTTAGAGTATCTTTAAATGATGAACAAATACAATCCTAGATCACCTTAAAATTTTACTGCTCCAAGCCCCCCCCATTGTCCTATATTAGATGAAAATGTACTGTAAAGTCTTCATTTCTAAATAGATATCATCCCTTTAGAAAAGCTGTTCTCAAACTTATTAAAGGGTCAGCTATCTCTTGGTGGTATACCACAAAGTGTTTTTGTATTCAAATTAAAATAACTATAATTTCTGCTAAACAGATAGACATCTCATGATATGCTAGTATAGAAGAGTGGCAAGCAAGTGTCAAAGGCATAATAAAAATTCATGAAAGAAAAATTAATACTGAGAAAATTCTATCCCTTAGTTCATTTTTCTTGTGAATATGCTATTATCTGATTTACAAAGCAAAACCCCTTGGGCCACTGTTCGGAAGACCAGGGCTCTGCAAGAGCCAATTTCAAAGTTATAAAAGTTCAGAGTTATGAAAGACCACTTCAACGCAGAATAGCTTATTACAGTGCACTGGAAGTATGCTATGCTAAAGTTCATTTCTCAGATAATTTTAATCACATCAGTAAGTGGGACTACTTTAAGACATATGTTCAAAATAAATACTTTTGTATTTAAAGTATCTAATGAAATTTTATTCATTTTTCCCCCCACGCATAATGAATCTTTTCACTTTTCCCCTTGAACCTTTTTCACTTTTCCCTTGATTTGTCCTCTTATGTATTTATTTTTTATCCTCAGTGGTTCCAATTAAAGCTCTTGTGTTTAATAATGAAGGTAGTTTACTTAAGCTTAACTGTCCATGTAACCAATAAATCTTTTCCCAATTTTGACAATTCTCTCATTTAAAGGTACTTCCAAAAATGTTAAGAATCCATCTCAATGACCCCAGAAAGAGGATTCTGAGATTAAGCTGAACTGCCTTCAAATAATTTCAAACAAATTGGCACACAAATTAGTATTTTGCAAGAAGAGGCCATTGCCATCGCAGTACAAGCACTTGGACTGAGATATAACAAGGCAATATTCTTCTTAGTTCATTATAGTGCAAGTTTCCACATGGGAAGCCCACCAGATAAAGATGCACATTAAAAAATGTAAACATATAGAATTCTCAAATTCTAAGTGATACCCAGTTATTGCTAACCTTTCCATCTTCATTTAAGCATCAAGTGCCCCTGTGTGTCACAGAATGCAACTTCAATGTCCATTCTGTTAGACTGTGAGCACTTTGTTTCATCAACAGGAAGAATTAAAACTTATCTGACTGAAATGCAAGACACTGATGGAATATCATTTATTTATATGCAAAATCAAGTGCACCTGATTCATATAAGGTGTCCCCAACAATCTAGGCATTATTCTTAAACTACATTTTTTCTCTTTAAAAAGTTTACTTAGGTATTTTTTAATTGCTTAAAAAGTTACTTCAACCCTGCCAAAATTCTGAATCCTTTCTTTTGTTGTTTTCTCTTGGGCCCTGAAATCTAGAGAGGCCTCAAAAAGACAGAATAATAAAAAAAATCGTTTAATAACTGACCAACATCTGTTAAGGTAAAAATAGTTTAAAAACACATTCAATTTCAGCAGAGAAGTGCTGGAAACATGTAAAAAGTAGGAAAGTAACTTCCAGCGAGGCGGCAGAGCAGTGCTAGAATCATTCCACAGGTCAGCCCTAATCGCTGAAGATGTAGCAGCCCCAGTACTGTGCAGTCAGGCAGACACGTAAGAGCCTTCCATTACTCCCCTCCACCCAAGTCCTGACAACTGAGAAGCTAATAGTTAGCCTTCTCATTTAATCCATATTGTCAAATTTGTTAAATAATCTTAATCCATAATAGGATAAGAGAGAACACACATAAAAGTATATAAGAGGCGATTATAAGAATAATTTGTGGATAATTTGAAAACAATCTAACATTCACATTAGGTAACAGGAAGATATTAAACTCACGTCACACATTAGAAGAGGTATGTATGTAGATATCATTCAGAGAAAAATTGGCCTAAAGAACATGAAAATGTCACAAACAGTTAATAAAGGGAAAACCTAATGATAACAAAAAAATTCTCTTTTTAAATAGATTGTCTCTAACCGGAACATATTTAAATGTTTTATTAGGAAAAATATATATAAAAATGATTTCATACTGTGATATTATATGCTGAAAGTACTGCAAGGATATATGATCAATTTACAACAAAAACATAATGGTTAAATTTGTAATTTTTAAACATTGTCTATATGTGTTGTAAAATGTTGTAACGTTTTAATGAGCATTAAAACAATCATGGAAGTAAAGAGGAGCAATAATATGTCTAACCTCTGATCATTATGCAAAAACAGCAGTCAAATTGAAGAGCTAAGCCTACTGGGGATTGGAGCTAGTAGAAATACTAAAATGAAACTTTAATTTAGAAAATTCCATTTAATCAATCCTCAGCTAAAAAGCTTTGAATAAATCATGATATCTTGGCAAAATGGCCTACAAAGCTGCTGGGGGAGGAAACAAGGTGAAAACACCCAGAAGAAAAATTAATTTTTGACAGAGATGCGTGTCCTACGGTAGGGACAGAAGACTTGCACACACAAACAGCCCCACAGCATCTTACCAGACAGCTGATCTCTCCTACAACAGCAACACCCAGAATGGATTTTTATAAATATCAATTTTCCTTGCTAAAATTGTTGGATTACTAGAGAAAACAAAGCCCTTTGTCCAAAGTTAGCATTAATTCCTTTTTTTTTTCTTTAATGGTTTCTTTAACTCATTGGCCCTCAAATGTTAGTTAACATCAAGGCTATTTGGCTACTTCCAAGTATCTATGGTTTGCTGCTCTAAGATGAACTTAATTTCTTCTTCTTTTTATTTTGGTATCAATAAAGCCCAGACATTCCTGGTCAGTGATGCCTTTATTATTCCTGTTTCCTTTGTACTCAGTCACTTCACTGGGTTTAAGGCATGCTTTGTGTATTTAGTTTGCAAAAATAAAACTTTTAGTACAAATTTATTTTTTATACAAATTTTTATGGCACAAGCAGCAAATCTGCTGTTTTAAGAAAATATATAAATATCCTTTTCTTCTGTACAAATATCTCCAGTATTCCCTACCCCATTTATAATTTTTAACTGTACATGGTCTGCCTCATCCTTCTCTAGCAGCTCCCTCCCCCCCTCCAGATCTCAACCAAATTTGTATTTACATGTTTGCGTTGGAGGCAGTCAGAGGAGGAGGGCCCCTCCTCAGGAGGAGTCTGTACAAGGAGAGGGGGGTGGTGGGTAGAGGTGATGAGAGTAGCTCCTCTCTGTGTATGGAGAAGGTGGGCAGCTTTCATAGTTCTCTTCCGCCGACAAGTACTGGCTTCGGGGCGTGGGAGGTGGGGGCACAGGCTCTGAGTCATAGTTCAAGTCACTAGTGTAGCCCTTGGCTGTTGCCACTGAGGTCATTCTCCGGCTGGGAGCATAGTCACTGTCACAAACATCTGTGCTGCAGGGTGTGGTGGGGGGTGCAAAGTGCCGGTAACTGTAGGGTCTGTAGCTGGTATAGGAAGAAAATCAAGAGAAGCAAAGTTAGTTTTATAGAAAAGTGGTTTTCCCTATCAGAATACAAAGGTATTACATGTAAACTTCACCTTCAAGATAAGCTACCACAATCTAAATCTGCACAGACCAAGAGGCAATTTTCAATGGCAGATTGGAGGAGGAAGATATTTTATATTTGCAAATAAAATGTGATGAGAGGTAATTAAAAATGGCTAGGATGGGAATGCAGAGGCAAACTCAATCTAGCCTCTGGATGTGCTCTTATATCTTTAAGTTAAATTGTATCACGGAATAAAAAAATACTCAAAGTTGTACTTCATGGTCATCTTTGGAAAATCTCTCAGTTATACACTTTGCATTTAGTCTATAGAGTGGACCTCACCAATTTCTGCCGTTCCATGGTCTGTAAGAAGAATAGGTCTTCACATATTTTACACTACTCAAACATGTTAGCATTCCCTCAACATTCTTTAACTGCTCCATAATTTACCTGATGAATAATTTAATGATGTCCAAAGACTTCATTCTCTTTAAAACTCAAATATTGTACAAGCCAGGCTGAACTGTGGTAGACAGCCTAAAGGGCATATCTATCCCATTCCTGTTACTATCAGCAAGGGGAAACTGCTGTGGTTTGGGGGAAGGAGTTTTGATTCCCTGTGTACAGACAAGCATATTGTCATAAGAGCAGCTTTAACTGAAAATCAAAATGATAAATTCTAAATATTTATATAGGACCGGGGCATTTTCTAATAAGTATTTCAGAGACCTAATTTATTTCTTACACATGTTTATCTACCTTTTCAAATAATCTGTAGCTGTTAAGTTTGTAGCATGGCTAACTAACGAAAAAGGCATTCATTAGAAAGAGAGGAAAGTACTAGTAAAAATAAGAGCTAACAAAGTGCTGCCTTTTCTATCATTTCTACTTCTATCTGTAACTTCATATATCATTTATATTTTAAATATGGTAAAGTTGAGCTTATTTCATATTATCCCAATCAAGATTTATTCATATGATTTCTCATCAAACAAAGTGACTGCAAGACAGAGGTAACAGCAAGCGTAAAACTGAAGTAACAATTCATGAAATACCCAGTGATATGGAGCGCCACAAGATAATATCCCAGGATACAAAAACCATTTGATGTCACTTAGGGCTGGCCTCAAAAGAAATGGCTGCCAAAAGATCAAACGTTACATGACCTGCTGAGCAGGTTCTCAAGTGTTCTTACTACCAATATTGACATGATGTCATAGTATTTTTTTAGGTTTTATCTTTCTGTCTAATCAGGTGCTAAGCCTTAGTGAAACTTCTTGGCTCAACATTTAAAAGGCCCAACACTTCCATTTTCATGGAGGAAAAAAACAGGAAAGGGGAACAAAAGGAAATAGAATTAACAAAATTCTTTTAAGTTTCAGTTTAGACAAAAATCTCAAGAAATGATAAAACGTTTACTCAGAATAAACAAACTGGGCTTACTTTGAGATGTGGGAAATGGTAAAATGAAATTGTTTTTGATGCAATTATGTTTAATCAGCGTTTTATTTAATTTAAAGAAAATCTTTTTAAATAAAATTTTAGGTCTTTCCTTTTATTTTCTCAATTTTCAGGTTTCTGACTTTCTATTTTGGCTTTTTAGAACAACTTGTGACAGGGAAAGCAACATTTACAGTAAAACATAAAAACAATCAGTTCAGAGTGAAGCCTATCTCACACAGTCTTATCTATAAACTGAAATGAGAGATCTGAACGAGATACTATAAACATTTTCCCCTTGATTTCTATAGATCTGTAAGGTTATATCAGGGCAATTTGACTGGAATGTTAGGAAGCACCTTATAGAAGACAAAAGGCACTTGAGGGATGCCAATAACACCGGACACTAAGTGTTTAGATAGAGAATATCAAGCTGTTGACTTTCTGCTGGCCTTTCAAATAAGCTAGAAAATTAAGGATGACACACTTAACCTGCTCAATATGCTCTACAGAATCACAAATCAGCACAAAGGCATAATTTCCCTCTTTTTGGCTTACAAACACATTTCATTTATTTTAGTTAGTCACGATTTATTCCATGCAACTATATGAGAAATCTTACATTCCAGGTTGTAATAACATATGTAAGCAAGGGCTGAACTTCAGCTTCTCTCAACTTCTCTCAAATTCTGTGCTCTTAATGCCCCTGCTGTTTTAGAGCTCTCACAACTCTCTGAACCATAGTCTTATTCCAATATTCCATTCTTAGACTATCAATCAAACCTAACCCGAGAGTAACCTATTTTGAAATCAGTCACTTTGGTGGGTAACTTTTCCTTAGAATACTGTCAAAGCTTTGGGGGTTCTACTTTATTACTCTAAAAGCCAGCATTTGCGACTCTCTTTAAACAAATGTATAATGCCCTGAAAGAAAAGGATTTGTTGTAGGGGTCATGTCAGCATTACCAAGACAAGATGCCTATTCCATCTTGGTGACCATCATCTACTCATTCGGGGCTACATCAAGCCCACAACTAGAATACTTCTTCCGTCTAATAAATACTTCGACTTACAACCATGTGTTGCTTAACGACGGGGATGCGTTCTGAGAAATGAATCTTTAGGCGATTTCATCATTGTGCAAACATCATGGAATGTACTTACATAAACCTAGATGGTCTAGCCTACTACACACCTAGGCTATATGGTACGACTCTTATGGGACCACCGACATATTAGAGGAGGATTTGTGTTACCTGTAGGACCTATGAGTGGAAGGACTGTTTGAAGAATAACCAAATTCCATAGTGTAATGTGATCGCTCTGTGGCTGGGGATGGCGGAGGGTTCAAAATCTAAAAGGAAAAATAATTAAATTATTAAAATAACAATAGTCTATCCCAGACAGAGACTATTAGACTTTCTTTGAACTTCTCCTCCTTCATCTCTGTTCATACTCCTCTCCATTACACTATTAGCACAATCTTTCTTTTCCAAAGAATTGACTTCAAATAGTACTTTAGGATTGTGGCTCTCTACAACCCAAGACACAATTTCATCACGGCTAAACAGCACAAGGTGATGAGAAGGAAATCTATAATCTACAAGTCACTGGTTTAAGTTCAGCACAGCTGGGTTCTGATTTTTCAAAATTATGAAAATTTAGAGAAAAATTACTGTCTTAGGAGAAGTACCAGGTATGCTTACTGTTTGGGGAGGTCATGGAATGAAGGTCCTAAGCCTCTCAGGAAGTACTATTTAGTAGTTCTACTTTTACCTGAAATATGAAATTAATGTCCAGTTCTTCTAGATATGCTGGTCACTACAAAGTAAACTTAAAGAAAGATTTATAAGTTCTCACATGATGGTGGTAAATCCTTCTTTGAGCCTTACATGCCTAAATTCTATACTAAAAAACTTTTTACACTACCATCACTGCATATTGACATTTAAATGAAAATGAGTTACAAATATAAGATCCTATTTATCTTAGCATTCAAAGGAAAACAGACTCTTACTGCAGGAAAGTAAGTGCCTTTGGTACTTGAAGAACTACTTGATGATGCTCCTGTGACATGAGCTCGGTCATAAGGGGGTCCACTGCTTCCTCCCATGATACTGAGGGAGCTAATCATTGATTTACCTCGAGACATTCCTAAAATGAAAGAGGATAAACACTGAAGATGAATAAGATCCATAAAAATGCATGAAATAATTTTATTCAAAACTAGGATTATAAATACCAATAGTCAAATAGTTTGATTTTAAAACAATTTATGCCGTCTTTTCCTAATAATAATTGAAAACACTTAATGGAGAAAGGAAATGCATGTTCTCTAGAAGCGAATACTTCTATTGAGAACTGGCCTAAAACAAGGCCAAGAATAGCTCCTATCCCTTCTCTCCCCAGGACGGAAGCAGAGTTCTGCAAAATGAGAGGTTTTCAAACTCACAGAGGATTTGAGGAAGAAAGGACTGTGGAGAGTGGAGGCTGTGAAGCAGGGTAGACTAAACAATAGATTTGCTCCTAAGGAAACTAAACCCATTTTTAAGGGCATAAACACAATGTATGGAAAATTATTTCTTCAACTACTGGATGCAAATGTTGTTGGAATCATAACCACCAACGCTAAAGAAGAAATTCTGTTTTTTCCAGTGACTCCCCAAATTCCACTAATTGAAAATAGGAATGGCAACAAGGAATCATTATCATTAACAGTTTAAAAACCATGTCTGTTTACTTAGAGTTAAACCCAAAATAAGTTCTTATTTTCAGAGGGCTTTTGCCTGGTACTCCTTTTCCATATTCATTAAAAGAAAGGCTTCTTTTCTCTAAAGGCACCAAAAAGCATTGAAAAGAAAGCTGTACTTCCTTAGAGCAATACGGTCTACCCAAGTACAGAACTTCTGGCTACTTGGCTATGCCTAAACAAACCCTAGGCCCACTGTCATCACCTACAGTTAGGAGAAAACATAAGAATATATCCCTCCCTGCTATTACTCAGATATTTCCAAATCTTTCTTGCTGAAAAGGAATCTTTATTTTTTGGCCTCCTTTAATTCCTGGGCTCGGCCGTACTGAGGTCCCTGGTAGTGAACCTAAAGAACATGTGCTTTATGACTCTTTTCACCAAATAACTAGCTGATTTACTTTCAGTGGAGCACACCCAGAAATGCAGTATATATAAATGCTTACATATGTATTTGCTTTACATCTTTTGGAAATTTCTACCAAAACACATTTAAGGTCTCTTGTGTATAGAGAAAGTGCTAAAAGTAAAAGAAAACATTTGTTCTTATAATTTTTTAAACCCTAAGTAGTCTAATTTGAAATAGACTCTAGGCAGTATCCTGTTCCCATAATGGAAACTTGGCAGTCTTGCCAGGACCCAAGACTTGATTCTCAAGGGATCAGTCTTAACTCACCTGGAAGAGATCCTGACAAAGAACTTGGGTGTGGCACATAACCAAGGGGCACAGAAGCTGGTCCATGAACTACATAGTCATTAGTCATGGTTTCTCCATCTCCCTTCATACGTGGACACAACATCCTCTGGCAGATAAAGTATATGGTTCCAGACACAAAAATGGTGACAATTACTCCAATAACTGAACCAACTGTATTGGTAGCCTGTGGTGCTGGCTCCTCAGTTGGATCTAAAATGCGGATGCAGTACAGTTATATAATGGAAAACCAACTGTAGATTCAAAATAGTAATTGAAAAGACGGCTAGTGAGCAGAACGTGAACCTAATGAAGACAACTTATAAACATTTTTCTCATGAATACATATACACCATGCCCCATGGATATATGGATAAATGTCGTCATTAGGAATCAAAACGAACTATCCTAAGTGAAGGCAGAAATAAAACAATACACTGAGAAGTATAACTGCAAATTGATAAAAACAAAGATATTAAGTGAACTACAGATTTAAACACCATTAAGAAGCTTTAAATATATATATATAAATAAAATCTATCCTACTTCATTCTGCATATCATAAAAATCAAGATTATTTTGGAATTTCAGAGGAAATTTTAGCACCAGAAGGGATGGACCTGGAAAAGTCATCAAATGTTTTACCTGGACTAGTGAAGAAGCCAAAAGCAGTTCTGAGCTTGATTTTAGGTTTGAAAAGTGACACTTAGGCCTGGTGAAGGGAAATTAGAAGCTAAAGATGAGCATTAGCTCTCAGGCCCAATTTCCTGCTGCCTCCAGGATGAGTCTAGCTGCCTGAGGGCAAGGAACATAAGGTCTCTGATAACTGAGTACACAGAAAGAAAGGCCAGAGCATGAGAGCATCAGAGGAAGACCCTGCCCATGGCATCCACCTTCACGGGATCCCTGAGCTATCTGAGGCTTTAGAAGATGACGGTATCAATATCAGAAGTGGAGGGAAATAGGAAAAGGGGCTCATCAAATTTAGAGCATCACTCCTCTATTTAGAAGGAAAATTCTTCCATTCTGAATAGTCAGACTACGTTACAATTGCAGATCCTCTAAAAACCTTCCTTCTGCCTTATATTACCTCAAATCTCCCATCCACATAGCTAAACTCATCCTCTGATAGATTAAACGAAAGAAATGAGAGAAAATGACATCGTATAACATGTAGGGGCTGCCAGTTACATATTTCGTCTGTGGCCTCTGAGACATAGACTCTCCTTGCTCCTTAGCCTTTGTAAGCAACCATCCCATCTTGCTCACTCCTTTTCAGTGCCCTGGCATTCCTTTCTAACGCCAAGCTTCAAGAAAGACTAGTTTACACTCACTATCTCCAATTCTTAGTCTCGGGGTCACATCTTAACTCACTGAAATCAGGCTTCTATCCTCATCAACACACTGAAACTAGCCTGGCAAAGGTCAAAGTTCTCCTATTTCCCATATTCAATAAACTCTTCATCTCATTGACTTCTCTATACATTCAATACTGCTGGCTCTTGTTTTCTTCTCAAAAATGTCTGATCAATATCTTTCCAAAATACCGCTCTCTTAGTTTTATTGTCTCTGATTATTCTTTCTCCGTTTCCTTTTGTCAGCTTCACTCTCTTTTGTCTGCCTCTTAAGCGCAGGTGCTTCCTAGAGTTCTATCTACCATCTGCTATCTTCCTCTTCTACTTACTCTCCCTGGGAGGTTTCATCCATTGTCTCAGCTTTAATTATCACTAATAAACTGAAGAGCCCAAACCTCTCTCTTAAGCTACAGACTCATACAGTCAACTACTTCCTGAACAGCTTCAATGGGATATCACGGGCAATTTTAATGCAACATATCTAAACTGAACTCATCGTCACCATCTCTGCCATGTTTCCTAGATTCCAGGGGTAAAGTAGATCACAAATAAATGATGGTGCCTGTGGTAAATTAAAGGCATTTAAATTAAATTAAAAACAAAAATAAACTAATAAAAAGCCTACGTCAGCCAAACATTACATCTCCAGCCAAGATGTGGAATGGTACTTCAGTTTTCCATCCCTGGTACATATTCTAGTTACTGACTCCAGTCACTCAATGAGGTACCTGTGAGTCAATCTAAACCTATTAACTGTATCTAAGGGTTTGGTAACCCCTTTTTATTTTATTTATGAAATTTATCCCTTCCTTTCCACTACCACTGCTCTTCTTGATTTAGAGCTTCATCATCTTCTGTCTGAATTACAAGAGCCTCCTAAGCATTTTTAAACTACACACTGCAAGTCATTAGGTGAAGAAAACAATTTAGTGGGTTGCAACCAGCATTTTAAAACAGAAAACTTCAGAATGCATTCTACATAATATGGGTAAATACTGTTGTATGGCACTTTTGTTTCTTTTATGTCTGCACCCACATCTTTGTATTTCTCTTGATGTGGTCACAAAAGTTTGAAAGGAACCAACATAACTGATTTCCTTGCCTATAATCTTATCACCTCCAATCTATCTGTTTTACAGCTTTCACAATTATGTATCCATGACAGTCCTTTCCTTAAGTTTTTCAATGACTTTCCATTATTCTGTAATACTGGCTAGGCTCTTAAGAAGAAAAGCAAAGTCCTCCAGTATCTTACCTTTACGTATGTTATCTCTTGCTGACATCCCTCAAGACGTAGCCTATATTTTGGCAGTCCCACTTACATGTAGTTTCCCAAAGGTGCCTGTTTCACTCTGCTTTTGAACAAGATCTTCCCTCTGCATGGAATGCAATCTCTCTATTTATCTGCATAACTAATACTATTCGCTGATCAACACCAAATCTTAAGCACCATTTTTCTAAGAAGTCTTCCTTGATTGAACCCCATCTTCATTTCTAAAGATGTGACCCCTCTCTCCTTTGCGCTACTACTTGTACAGATCTCTATTATAGCACATTGGATAACACTTATTGCACTCCTTTATCAAAAGTACCTACTATGAGTCACGCTATATGTTTTATATACTATACATTAAACCATTTAATTTTCTCACAACCACCAGGCTAAATATTATTATCTATTATTATCTTCATTTTAAAGACGAAGAAACTAAGGTTTAACAATAACAAATCATTTGTTGGTAAGAAGTGGAGCTAGAATTCAAATCCATCTCTGCCTGGCTTTAAAATCCCAATTCTGGGCCGGCCCCGTGGCTTAGCGGTTAAGTGCGCCGCGCTCCGCTACTGGCGGCCCGGGGTTCGGATCCTGGGCACGCACCAACGCACCAACGCACCACTTCTCCTGCCATGCTGAGGCCGCATCCCACATACAGCAACTAGAAGGATGTGCAACTATGACATACAACTATCTACTGGGGCTACGGGGAAAAAAAAAGGAGGAGTATTGGCAATAGATGTTAGCTCAGAGCCGGTCTTCCTCAGCAAAAAGAGGAGGATTAGCACAGATGTTAGCTCAGGGCTGATCTTCCTCACAAAAAAAATCCCAATTCTTACTATTACCTCAACCACAGAGGACTCCGAGAAACTTGGTACAGGAACCATGTATCCTTAGCACACAGCAGGTATTCAGTAAACATTTGTTGAATAAAAAATAGATTCTACAAGTCGTAGTGTGTATCCCATTTGAATTTTGTAAAAATACCAAGTTAAAGTCTTCATTAAGATTCAAGAGTTTTTAAATGAGTTCTATCTAAATTCATTAAACCAGTTTTGACAGGGTAGACCTGGCTTATGCTGAATTCCATTCAGAAATAAGTTTATCAATTTGGGATATATTTTATGTTAGGGCATTGGTCAACAGTTATGAACTTTGAAGAAACTATAGGCTATTCAGCTTAGGGTCTCTAGGCCTAGGGCTACATGGTGGCCAAAGTATCCTCAGGTACATTTTAAGGAAGCTCTTCAACTCACTGAGAGACTGGTGGAAACACGTCAAGAAAAAAATGGGAGACTTGAAACAGAGTAATGTTCAGAAGTTCTTAAGTTTAGAACACTGATTAATTTCCATGTATCTCAACTGTTTGAGAATGTCCTAACTTTAGTTGTGGCAAAACAATATTTATTCTTTTCTGATGCTTTACTAAACGTTTCTGTGAAGATTTTTGTGCAAGAGAAAACTGCTATCTTTAAGGAATTATTAAGAGCAAAATATAAAAAAAATCTTTGGAATAAATAGTTTAACATTAATACTTATTGCTTAATAAGGAAATATTGATTATAAGTGAAACTCACACAGAAAGAAAAGGAAAAAGTATTTTTAAAATTCTCCCTTAAGAGTAATACACAAGTTTTAGTCCTACTTACAACAATCCAGTTCATCTGATTTGTCACTGCAATCCACATTATGATCACATTTCTTGTGTTTTCCAATGCACTGACCATTGGCACAGCGGAACTGATCAATTAAACAAAGCACTGGGGAGAAAATGCAAACAGTTCTCTTATTTTTACTATCATGTAAAGCCAAACTCGGGCAAGAGTCAAAAAGTGCTTTCTGAGTGCAAATGAAAAACAAATTAGACTTTTAGATATAATTTAAAAAATTATTCTCGGGGGATTTCCACTGGTAGAGAGAAAAGAGTAGAGAAAGGAATCCAGCAGGAAATTTCCTATTTTGTTCTTTACGTTAAATTTCATCTTTCACTAATAATTCTGTTAAGAATTCGAGAATTCTACCTGCATTTCTAGACACTAAAAACTTCTAGAGAATTTGTTGGTTTGTTTGGTTTTGTTGCTGTTGTTTTTTTTACTGTGTTAAAGGTTAGTAGAAGGAAGAGGAAAATATGGAATTATTTTACATTGTAATAAATAAATCCACTATTCAGAGTTCACTGGAAGCAAGGACTATCTACATACTGAAGGTCTAATCTTTTGGCCTCATTTCTCAATGTGCAAAGATTATTAACGTATATAAACCACATGCATGTTAAGTGAATTAAAACAACAATTTGGAACATGCTACTGTTTAGATATAATAAAGTCAAAAGGATTTGAAAAACTCCAAATCTACCACTAAGCCAAAGCAATACTCTGAATTTCAAACAACTTAATGGAAAAAGGACTACATATCCAGGCCCTAGGAATTTGGATACCTTCACAGTTCTTCTCATCTGATTTATCTTGACAGTTTGCATCTCCATTGCATCGGAGGGCACCATCAATACACTGCCCGCTGGCACACTGAAACTGGGACTCTGAGCATACAGGACAATTGAGTTCATCACTGTGGTCTTCACATTCAGTAAACCCATCGCACCGCCAAGCCACAGGGATACAGTCAATTTCTCCCGTGAAACAAGTAAACTGCTGAGGAGAACACGTTGGGGGTTCTTCAAATGAACAAGAGGAGGGGAGTAACAAAAACACAATAATAGTCACACACAGGTACAAACATTTACACCTGAGTGAAGCTCATTTAATAATTATCATATACAAAACACTTTAGAATAGACAAAATTTGTAAACTATCTCATCTAATCAGAGAAAAAGTAAAATTTTTATACTACTTCATTTAGATTCACTAACTTGCAAAACATTATAATAGCAGAAGTTTTCAAGTAGGATTACTATATTTGCAATCCATTAGACTCTCACACATAACCTAGGAATAATCACTATAATCATCAACCTCCAAATATTTTAAAGTTAGCCTAGAATTCATAAATTTTCTATCTCTGAGGTTCTCAAAGAGTGGTCCTCAAACCCCTGGGGGTCCCTGAGACGTCTTTCAGAGGGATCTACAAGGTCAAAACTATTTTATAATAATACTAAGATGTCACTTGCCTTTCTCACTACATTCGCACTAATGCTACAAAAGGAATGGTAGGTAAAACTCTTGGCACCTTAGCAGACTCAAGGCAATGGCACCAAATTGTACTAGTAGCCATTGCATTCTACAGAGCCACGCACTCACAGTAAAAAAAAAAAGTGCCAGTTTCATTAAAGAATGTTCTTGATGAATCAGTAAAAATATTAATTATATTAAAACCAACTCTGAGTACATGTCTCTTCAACATTCTGTTTGACAAAATGAGAAGTATGCAGAAAGCTCATATTGCATACCTAAGTATGATGGTTTCTCAAGGAAAAGCATTTTGAGTTTTAAACTCATCCCAAAATGGAATACTATTTGTATTTGAAAGAACAACTGACAAATAAACTTTAGTTATTTACACTTGGATATTTGGCAGAAAGTTTAATTAAAAAAAAACCCAAAACAGTGAGCCTGTTACTTCAAAGAAAACAATGGCAAACCATAACACTGTACTTTTGTGGCAAATTATAGCACTGGAGTTTTCAATGAGAAATTATAATTTTGGAAAACTTGTATCTAATACTGTAAGCTTGACAGATTCCCAGTACTAAAAGATTTTTCTGATGAGATTGGTGGTGATATTAACACGTGATTTTTTGATATTGTATAATGAAATGCGTCAAAATCTGAAGATCTGGGAATTTCTGAATGGAATTCTAATATTTCCAAATGACCAAAGTCTAAGGATACAAAATCATGCATGAATAAAATATCCATTCAGAGCACAAAATAGATCAACGGATTTTAATATAAGAGACTATGATGGTTTCAAATTCCACACTGCAACTAAACCTATAGAAAACTACCACTTGTCAAGATTTGGTGTAGAATTCAAGATGAATACCCATAGTTATCTGAAAAGATTATTATTATAGTCCTCTGTTTTCCAACTACATATCTGTATGAGGCCAAATTTCTTCATATATTTCAACCAAAACTACATACTACAACAGATTGAATGCAAAAGTAGACATGAGAATCCAACTCAACATTAAAGAGGTTTGCAAAAATGTAAAAATAATGTCATTTCTCACTAAAATTATTTTGCTTTAGAAAATCATCTTTATTGAGAAATCATACAGTTCATTTTCTTAACAGATTTGAGAACATGTAAGGGTTTACTATTGTTAATAAATATTTTTTAATGTTCTTGGCTTTAAATTTTACTACAGTATGTATAAATATAACCTATGCAAACAAAAGCTCTTTAGGGTTCTCAATAATTTTTTAAGATTTTTTTATTTATTTATTTATTTTCCCCCCAAAGCCCCAGTAGATAGTTGTGTGTCATAGCTGCACATCCCTCCAGTTGCTGTATGTGGGACGCGGCCTCAGCATGGCCGGAGAAGCGGTGCGTCAGTGCGCTCCCGGGATCCGAACCCCGGGCCGCCAGCAGCGGAGCGCGCGCACTTAACCGCCAAGCCACGGGGCTGGCCCTCAATAATTTTTTAAAATATAAAAATATGCTGAGACCAAACAGTTTGGGAATTTCCATTCGATCCCAATTTCTTTGTTTTGTAAATGAGGAAATTGCGGCTCAGAAGGCTAAGTGACTGCCTAAGGTTACAGAGCTTCCTATAAACAAAGGATGATAAAAAAAGGATAGGACTGGAAGGGCAGTCTCCTTACTTTTAGCCCTTTGCATTTTTACCACTACACCACAGGCTCACCGACTTCTTTTAAAAACTTATCTGTTAGTAAATTCTATGAAGAACTCAGTAACTTTATTATTTGATTATGGATCAGAAAACCTTTATCTTTAAAATAGAGAATATTGCAGATTACAGGTGAACAGTTTACACGGGAATCTGAGGATTATTTATAGAGGAAATTTGAGCCTATTATGTATTCAGCACTATACTAGAACATGTGGAGAATAAAAATAGATAAAGTATGGTCCACGTCTTTAAGGAGCTTTTAATTTGGTTGGAGACAGGAAGACAGTAATGAATACAAATGATTACATTAGTCTGAACTGCATGTCATGCAACTGTGGTAACAAGTGCTACAGCTCAGAGGAAGAGGAGAAAATAACAGCTAGTGAAGGTTTCAGACATCATGAGGAGACGAGCTGCACCTTGAAAAATGAGTAAGGTTTAGGATGGGCATGCAAGAAGAGAAATACATCCCTAAAATTCCACAAGTATATCCACAGAGACAAAAACAAAACAGAATATGCCACAGTGATCATCAAATTCTAAACAACCAAACAAAAATAAAGTGAGCAAGCTGGGAAGAAATACAAAATGAGTTGAAGTAAGACAGGCTCAAACTGAAAACACATCTTGAAGGTCAGGCAGAGGAATTTAGATTTTGTATTTCATTTGTCTCCACTGTAAAATCAATGTTAAATCACAAAACAATCTTCTACACAAACATTCACTGCCGTTTTATTCTTAATAACAAAAAAATTGAAAACAATTAAAATGTCCCTAATAAAATAATAAATTGTGACATATTTATACAATGAAACACTACTCAGCAATAAAAAGAAAAAAACTACTGATACATTCCACTATACAGTTGAATCTCAAAAATATTATATTAAGCAAGAGAATCTAAAAAGAGTATATATGTTACAATTCCTTATATAAAGTTCAAGAACAGGCAAAGCTAAACTATGGGGATAAAAATCAATTAACAGTGGTTACTTCTGGAAGAGGAGAATTGGCTGCTAATGGACACGAAGGTACTTTTCTTAATGATGACACTGTGTATCTTGATTTGTGTGTTGGTAACGTAGTTGTATTCACTTGTTAAAACATTCTATTCATTTAATGCACACATTATAAAATAATCAAAGGTCTTTTAAAGGACATTTTATTTTATTTATTTTTTTTTTTTTTAATTTTTTGTTTATTGCAGTATGGAAGGCCATATCCTTGCTTCAGTTTTATCTATGTTAGCATTACATAAAGGTAAATTTTTCTAGGATTTGCCTTTTTTAGAGTAATAATACAGTACCCTGATATGGAACTACTTGCTATTTTTTTAGTGGTAAAATATACTTAACAAAGTTTACCACTTTAAAGTATAAGTTCAGTGGCATTAAGTACATCCACATTGTGTACTTGCCGTTTTTGGGGGGATACTTCAAGTACCAGAGCTTAACTTCTACTTTGCACACATGTGATCTCCCTAACTAAACTGTATGCTCTATCTCAAAGATCTTCAAATCTCCTGCAGTCTAAGCACAGTGCCTCACAGCTGCTGCTCAATACATGTCATTTATTTTTAAAAACTTAAAGGTAAGTTAGAAGAATAAAACATTCTTATAAAACCATCTTATCAACAATTTTTATATTTT